CTCCATTTCCTTTATGCAAATCCAAATATTATTGCTACCATCTGACGAGAAGAGTATTAATTAACAGCGCTGTGTATATCCACTGCTGGATGAAAACTGTGTCAGTCATGGGAAATGACTATTTGACCATACTTCACCAGGCTGGTGAGTGCGGGTGAGTGAAGTTTAGGGTAGGGTGCTTGTGGGTGGGTAGGATGGCCGAGAGGGGCGGTAGTGGAGTGATTAGCGCGCTGCGCTGTGAATCCTTTGACTCGAGTTCGATTCCTGTTCACGGCCAACACCAGTGACAAATATCTAAACCGGTCCTGGGACTCCCCTAGGTAGACTCAGCCTCAAATGAGTACCGTAGTACCTGGTGCGGCGTGTTAACATCGCCACTCGGGAGACAAAGGCGGTCGGGCGTGGTGCTGGCCACCCACCCCCTCGTGTACCGTGCTGGCCTTCATAGATCCTCCCTAACATTTTTTCCCCCACAGTCTGTTTAGGCTACACGGAGGATGGTTATCTTTGGGATGACCCAGGACCAGTTCCGACATCACTCGCCAGCCCTGATGTCATCCAGGGCTGGCAATTGAACGGAGCTCACCGGGTTCATAGTTCAGCGCGCTAACCACCCCTTACTTACCCCATTGACGTGGGTAATTTAAAGGACGTTGTACCATGGACTCAATAATCACAACAACCACAGCAACAACGAACACGACTCACGGCTGTAACCGATGGCGTCACGGGGGGGGGGGGGGAGGGTGTGTGTGTGGGGTGGGGACATTTAAAGCGCTTTCAAGCACGTCTGCCAGAGTCCGGAGTCGAACTCAGGTGCTTCCTGCAACAAAGGCACAAGTGTTGAACCACTGCACCACCACTGATGATGATGATGGATTTGTACCTTGTGCTCGTACCCCGATAATCCCGACTCCGAGGCAAAGTCAACCGAGCAGCGTTGCGGAATTTGTTCAGCGACAGATTAAGCCCTGGGTATCAGGATAATAAACACGAATTCTGTATTGGCGATGTTTCACGCAATGGCCCTCCTTCATAGCACACACAGAAAGAGAGAGAGTCCGGTAGAGAGACAGAGTGGACAATACGAGTTGGGGACTGTGTCATAGACATCGTACACTCTTGGACAAAGGTGAGTCTCAAGAACACGGTGGTGGTGGTTAGGGGATGGGGGGTCACATCGCCAGGCAACGCGGACCCATTGGCCACCTCCACCACCACCCCCGTCGACGTCGCCGCTATTTATAGCGAAGGTGAACAACTGTGAAAGGGTAGGGAACAGCAGGCGCGCTGGGAGAGGGAGAGAGAAACCCCGCACTTAAACAGGGAGCACGTAAACTATGGCGCGCGAACACAGGTACAACAACCACACTCTGACACACGCAGAGAAACACCACGAGTTCGGAAAATAAAATCACGCGCAACGATTTCCCATGTGTACGTATTCAACTAGCACTTTGGGAGTACGTATTCAGCTAGCACTTCCTAAGTACGTATTCAACTAGCACTTCGGACATTGACGGGAAACTGCCCAGACAAACACCGCGATTGCATATTTGGCAAATAGTCTTCACTTTTAGCGCTGGTTTTTTTTCCATCGCCAAAATTACGTCTCGCGCGAACCCTTTAATGGGTGTGGGCTGGGTCTGTTCGTGTCCCCTCTCTCTCGTTCATCTAAGTCGTCAGCAACGGCAACACAAGTTTCAACGAAAGTCGCATTCACGTTGGATGGCCTTTCACGAGAGTCATCGTCAGATGGACAGCGCTAACGCATTCTACTAAAACTAAACTTTATTTTTGTATTTTACCAGGTAAGGCGCCACTGAGCTATTCAGAACTTTTTTCAGAAGCGACCCGGCCATCAAAAATGATAGCTAGACGAAGAGGCTTATCATCACAATGTGCACATTCATAGGCGCCAAACACTCTAAACGCACGTTTCTAAATGTGGAGGGGAAAAAAAACCGGAGAAGAATCAACGCAGACCACGGGAAGAGAGAGAGAGGACACGCAAACGCCAAATATACAGCAGGGTCGGGATCGAACCCAGGACCTCCTGCATACCGGGCGAGGGAATTAACATCTCGCCACTGCAGCACCCTTGGCTGGACAGCAGGAGATAGAGGCCTTTATTGTAACTTGGGTGCCTCACTCACCAATTGACAGGCCTTTTGCTGATCCACTGCTGGATGAAGGGCCTCCCCACACCGCAACAGATCGTCGGGGGGGGGGGAGGGGGGGTGCGGTTATTTTCTGACCATTCTTCTCCACGCTGGTCAGTGCGGGTTGGTGATGATGGCCTAGTGATTCTAATATAATTCATAGTCATCGAGCGCCTTCACTTGGTGCCCTCTGTGGCTTTAGCTTGCACAGCGGAGCGACCACAGAATGGAATGATTTAGGCGGCAGGGGCAGTGCGACCAGGTCTTGAGGAATGAGTGAGAGCGATCGAGGGGGGCAACTTTGGGGAGGGGGGGGGGGGGATCACGGAAGGGTGTGGGGGAGGGACGGGAAGGAGTGGAGGGGCGAAGGAAGAGAATGGGCAGCAGAGAAGGGGGGGGGGGGGGGTGAGGCTTTAAGAGAGGAACGCAATGAGGTTAAGGAGTCAGTTTAACGCGTAGGGCTTTCGCGACCAATGTTATGGAGAATAAATGCACAACATTGACAATTTGGAGTACGACGTTTCGCTGGTAATCATGTCCAGCATCATCGGGCAAATTTGCCATAATATTCTGGCAAATCTTCCCGATGATGCTGATACCATCCAACCCACAGGTGGGCTGAACTATAGCAACGAATTCCCTCGTTTAGTTTACAAACCTTACTGGCTGTGTCAGGTGGTGGAGGGATGCGACGCATTCGTACTGACGCGATCTAACCCCAAAAACCTTGATCATGAGAGATGTTAAGGCGTTTTTGTTGTAGTCGTCGTCGTCGTCATTATATGATGTGCAGTATGTAGAACTTCTTTCGCACCGTACGTAGCCAACCGAGCTCATCGGAGGTGCGCGTGCGGAGGACAACAAACTAAACACAAACACGCATGATATTCCGCAAACTCCTGTAGTTTTATAAAATCGCAGGTCCGTGTGCCAGCGGCTTTGGTTTCTGATGCAGCGCTCACTCAGCACGTGGAGGTAAAACGTCGGACATCAAACGTAGGCAGTACGCCTGGATGAAGCGCCATCGGAGGAGAGCCGCTGTTCGGTGTTGCTTCTGGGATACTTTTCAGAATGCACAAGAATTCGACTTTTTTTTGTACCCTTTCTGGCAATAAAGCAGGAGGTTGAAAGATGTTCAAACACCACACAGAAACCTTTTTGCAATGAATCAAGTGACTGAATTAACCGCACACGCGCGGGTACTTGTGGTCATGCAAACAAACGTTTCAGTTTCATGTATTAGGTATAACCCTGTGAGCCATGCGGCGCTTGACTCGGGTGCAACCGCAACAAAACAAAAAAAACATGAACAAGAAAACATCTTAAAGTGACTACACGCAATAGACAAAAAAAATCCTGCGCTCTGACAATATATGATGCGTTGTCTGTGAAACCGATTTGGCCACGCCAGAGACGGCAGCCTTCTTTTAAGGCCTCGTCTCACCGGTGTCAGAGCAGAACGTAAAAAAAGGCGAACAGGTTAATGCAGTAACTTCATTCCTCGCAAAAAAGTTTACTATTTTGCGCTTGAGAATCGGAACGCCTCCTCTTTTATTACCAGAAAGGGTTACAAAACAAAAACCCTATTCTCATTTTCTCAAAATACAATGAAAGAACAAAAATGTCCAAAAATAACCGAACCTCGCCCAATGTTGTTTTCAAGCGCGGTAGCTAAACAATGCGGTGTCGGCGTGTCGCTGCGTTTGGGCGCTGCGCTGCGCTATGAACCTGGCGACCCGGGTTCGATTCCCGCTCACGGCCAACACCGTCAGTGACGATTATCTGAACAGGTCCTGGGCCTCTCCTAGGTCGACTCAGCTTCACATGAGTACCCGGTGCGTTGTGTAAACGTCGTCACTGGGGAGACAAAGGCGGTCGGGCGTGATGCTGCCCCCCCCCCCTCGTGTACCGTTCCGGCCTTCATAGGTGCTCGCTAACAGCACTTGCCCCAACAGTCTGTTAAGGCTACACGGGGGATCTTTGTCTTTGTTGTTTTGGCGTGGACGGCGGCGATGGTGGGCAGCGGTGGCGCAATGGTTAGTGAACTGCGCTTCGAACTCAGCGGTGACCCCGTGTTCGACTCCCTCTCTCACAGCCTACGCATGGGTAGCGGATATCAAAGCCGGTCCCTCAGCCTCGCCTAGGTTGACTCAGCCTTAAACGAGTAACTGATGCGGTGTCTTAACGCATCAACACTGCGGAGGAGACAAAGGCGACCGGCCGAGCGTGGCTTTGACCACAGCACCCCCACGTGCTCCGTGCCGGGCCTTCAAAGGTGCTCGCTAACAGCACTTGGCCCAACAGTCTGTTAAAGGCTATACGGAGGATCTTTGTCTTTGCTGGGTGTGCCGTGTGTCTGTGTGATGGACTGGTGGTGTGTCGCGAGCGGTGGCGTAGCGGTATGAACCTGGCGACGTGGGTTCGATTCCCGCTCACGGCCAATACCAATGACGATTATATTATCTGAACCGGTCCCGGTTATCCCCTAGGTCGACTCAGCACTCAAATGAGTGCCTGGTGCGGTGTGTAAACATCGCCACTGGGGAGACAAAGGCGGTCGGGCGTGATGCTGGCCACCTACCCCCCTCGTGTACCGTTCTGGCCTTCATAGGTGCTCGCGAACAGCACTTGCCCCTACAGTCTGTCAAGGCTACACGGGGGATCTTTGTCTTGTGTCGGTGTATCACATTGTGGTCAATATCAGACAAAAACGTGCGGTGGCGCGCTTGCCTCGCGAGCTGCCACCCCTCTTTACCTCTCTGCATCTTCCCCTCCTCCATCGCTCTCCCCTCCCCCACTAAATCCCTCTTCCTCCTCCCTCATCTCGGCTTACCCCCTCCCCCACCCCAGCAGCAGCACCACCACCACCACCGTCATCACCACAACCAGCCACCACCAACAAGGCAATGTCCGTTTCTCCGTTGAGTCACACTCGCGTAATCGCGCACGTGTGCGGCCCCGTCATGCACAGCGGAGTGCGGTTCGCCTGCTGATGCTACGACCGCTTCTGATGATGATGCCGCCGCCGCTGCCGCTGCCGATGGTGATGCTGCTGCGCTTTTAAGTGGTGAAGCGCTTGGTTGTGATCGGCGCCCTGCAACATCGAACCTCGTCGACCTCCGTCGGAGAAGCAACCTTCACAGCGCACGGCTTCATCGGAGGAAGGGGGGAATTGTTCAACCTTGGTTCCATCTCTCGCTCTCTACACCCCCCCCCCCTGCCTTCTTGCCGCCGCTCCTTTGGATGATCATCATATTTGTGTTGTTGCTGCTGCGACTGCCGCTGTAGTTGCAGTTGGCTCCAAGCGATCTTCGATTTGGTGTGCTTGACATCTCGGGCGGCCCACTGAGACAGACCAGACAGAGGGGAGAGAGAAAGGGGAAGAGAGAGGAGAGTTCAGTCGGTCGCCGTTTAAGGAAAGATAAAAAAAACATCCGAAGGGCGCATGAGCAAAGACGCGCGGTGGACGATCGCCGTAGTTGGCGATTTGCGTTCCTGCGGGCGACGTGGCGGCGAATTACTGATGCGTGGTGCTCGCCCCCCCCTCCTCCTCCTCTTCACCCACGCCGGAGAATCTTTGGTGATCGCAAGGACCGCGGTGGATTGTGCAAGCGAAGAGGTGGGACGCGCGGAAGACGAGGTTTAATAACGACGAGGAAATAAGGAAGAGTCGCAAGGAGGAAAAGGGGAGGCACGTTCGGACCCCCCCCACCCACGAACCGAACCACCGCCACTTGAGCACCGATCCCATGGTGCAGTCGTCTTCGTCGATGTCGTGTTGATGGTGGCGGGTGGCGCTGATGGTGGTGGCCGCGGCGATGATGTAATGACGGACGCAGCCATCCTGTTCCACTGCCGACGATGGTGATGTGAGCCGCTGATGTGATGTAAAGATTGGGAACCCGACGCGGAGCAATGGAGCCTATCAGCAAGTGGTCACCTCGACAGGTGGTGGAATGGATGAAAGGTGAGAGCCTTTATCATCGTTCGTGCTGTTGCTGCTGCTGCTGATATTGTTGCCGATGATGTTGCTCTGGCTGATACGTTCCATGTGCTGCGAAGGCGCTGGGTTGAAGCAAAAAATGCCCATCCATGTGGTCATGTGGCTGATGCCGCTGCTGCTGATGATGATGTTCATGTCGTTGGTGTTGCCGCTGATGTTGATCCTGTTGTTGATGTTGCTGCTGCTGATGATGTGGATGATACCTTCTGCGAACCATTTTGAGCTTGGACAGTGCAATGTGGGCGAGTGTCGGGGCCGGCCCAACGGGGTGCCATAGGTTTCGGGGCTGAGTCGTGGGCGCCAGAGTGCAACGCAGAGACATCGGCGTTTGTGCGTGGTGAAGTATGGTCAAAGCAAACCCCGCGGATGCACACGGGCGCGGGCGTGGGAGGCGGTCATCCAGCAGTGGATTGACCGAAGGGCTTGTACACGTGTACTGTATTGTGTGTGTGACGACACTGCACATTGCTTAGAACCGGCTGTCGGGTCTTACTTAGTCCCATCATAGTCTATCCCCCTCCCCGTCCACGGTCGATAAATTCGGTACCATTTTGTGAAGCCAGTGGACTGGTCTATTGTGTTTTTATCCTGATTTATATCAAAACAACATCAATTCAAGCTGTCGAGAGAAGTGCGACTTGGGCAGGGACACGTGACGGCTGCAAGGGATGATGACAACGACGACGACGATGGTCGAAGAGAATAACGGGGAGTGGCAGCCAAGGTTTGGAACGCGCCCGAGTCGAGGAGATGGAGCGACGAACTCGACTCCGTGTGGCGAGAGAACGGGCGGTGGAAAGATCGCTGCTGCGCACGATCGCGAACGGTGTGGCGGCTTGGAGAAAGAGGTCTTCATCCAGCAGTGGATTGACCAAGGGTCGATGATTCTCAAGCAATGAAACCCGAGTTTCTATTGTGAGAGGGCATTACATGTGCGTGCGCCGGTCTTAATAGGTGCTCGCTAAGATTACTTTCCTCTTTATGTCTTTACCGGAGGAAGGGGGGGAGGGGGGTCCTTGCCTTGGTCGGCCTTTAATAGGCGCTCGCTACCCGCACGTGCCCCGACAGTCTGTCAAGACTATACGGGTAAGCTTTGTGTTTTTGTTAATGGTAAAAGAAGCACATCAAGTATGCCAGGTATGGAATGCGGTCATGGAACCCCCACTGTACGCGTTGGAACGCTCAAATCCACGCACACGTGGCACGTGTTTACGCCAATTCGCGTCCTAGGAGGAACGTCCTGGCCCCTGCCATTGGAACGTGGAATGTTGCACCACGGCTGCTGCATTGGAGTGAGTTTTGAGCCAAGGACACTCTGTCTGTGCTGTGCGAGTTTTAAGGCAGCAGGGGCATGCTTATTATAATCTGTGCAAAACTGCCGCAAGGCAATACTTGGAAATCGTACTTAATCTGACACGCGCACACACAGATATGCCCGCATATATACAATTGTACCTGTATACACTAACATAAAATAACCTCGTATAGCCGTAACAGACTGTAGGAGCATGTGCTGTTAGCGAGCACCTATGAAGGTCGGCACGGCACACGAGGCGGTGGGTGGCCAGCACCACGCCCGGTCGCTTTTGTCTCCCGAGTGGCGATGTTTACGCACCGCACCAGGTTCTCATTTGAGGCTAAGTCGACCTAGCGGAGGCACAGGACCGGTTCAGATTATTGTCCCTGGTGTTGACCGTGATCGGGAATCGAACCCGGGTGGCCGCGTTCCTAGCGCAGCGCGCTAACCCGCTGCACTACCGCTCCCCATAATACACACACACACGCACACACAGACCTACAAAGACGTACACACAGGCATGTATACACACGCACAGGCGTGTACAAAGACCCCCCGTATAGACTTGCATACCCGCTGGGGCAAGTGTGTGCTATTAAAAGGTCGGAACGGCGCATGGGGCGTGGGGGTGGTGATGTGTCTAGAACCCCACGCTCGCTCGGCCGCCTTTGTCTCCCCCCCCCCCCCCACACAGTTGCTGATGTTTACGCACAGAACCGAGTTCTGATTTTGAGGTTGACTCGACCCTATGGGGGGGGGGGGGGCGCGCGCCAATACATTCAAAGCGTCACTCGCCACTGATGTTAGCCGTGACCGGGAATCGAACGTGGGTAGCCCGCTTCGTAACGCGGTTGTGTGCCACCTTACGTGTACATACAAAACAAAGGCAAAGATCCCCCGTATGCCCAGCCACCAACAGACTTACGATGGGGCAAGTGCTTTTAGCGAGCATCCGTTAAGGCCGGATAAAGGCCACGCGAGGTGGTGGCCAACACTACGACCCGGCCGCCTTTGTCTCTCCAGTGCTGCTTTTTACACACGCCACCAGGTGCTCATTTAAGGCTGAGTTGACCTTAGGGGAGGCCACTTTGTTATTGGTCGCAAGCGGGTCAGCGAACCCGGGTGGCCGGGGATTGGAGCGCAGTGCGCTAACCACTGCGCCACCGCTCCTGAACCACACACACACACGCACAAGACAAATACTGCACTTCTCTCATATAGCATCAACAGACCTTTGGAGCAAGTACGCGCCTATGAAGGCCTGCACGGCACATGACGCAGGTGGCGGGGGAGGGGGGGGCAGCACTGGGCCCGGCCGCCTTTGTCTCCCAAGTGGCAATGTTTACACACCGCACCAAGTACTCATTTGAGGCCGAGTCGAGACTCGCACACTCACACGCGCGTGCACGTGCACACCAACAGAGGCGAATTCTTGTAGTCCCACGCTGAGTGGGTCTCTCCTGAAACAGACTCGCTGGGCCATCGCCGCCTCGGAAAGGTCAACCCTGTATCTGGTCATCAGACCATATGTGTCCTGTCTACCTAACCCATCTGCGTGTCTATTAGTATTCAGTGGATAGAACCAAAGAGCATGGATTCCTGCAGTCACGAAAGCTTCAAATCAAGATATTCAATGGACGTTATCTGACCACCTGGCCCTCCTCGCTCCGACCTCTTTGTCGATTAATAAAACTCGCGTCAGTCGGATTTGTCTCTTATCTGTCAAACATTCCATGTGTCTATCATGCAGTCCATCTCACGCAAACTCTAACCTTCTGCCTATCTCTCGTTCCATCTGTTTGTCTTTTGTTTGTCTTTTAATCTACGAATGTGTGCGCCCCTACGACTGTCTATCCACCCGTCTATCGTTCTGTCTGTTAGTCTGTCAGTATGTCGATATACAGTATCTCTCTTTAATCCGCGTTCCTACCTTCTACATCTATCAGCCTTCTCAAACTATTACCATAATCACATTGCATGGCTCTGCCCCCCCCTCCCCATAGTCCCCACTCCCACCCATAACTCTCTCTATACACTCCTCTACTGACGAACATTCGACTTATGAACAAACCTCTTGAACCTACAGGAGTCCCAGTTATTCACAATAACTTGGATCCGTTTGTTATTGGCGCCGTCCTTCTCGTATCGCACGGCTATCGTCACGAAGGACGCCGCGGTGGCTAGGAGATGTTAACTACCTCGCCTGGTACGCAGGAGGTCGTGGGTTCGATCCCGACCCTGACGCCTGCTGCTGTATATTTGGAGTCTGCGTGTCTCTCTCTCCGTGGTCCCGTGGATTTTTCTCCAGGTCCTCCCGTTCCACCACCCCCCCCCCCCCCCACATTGAGAATCGACGTCCCCGCGTTTAGAGTATTTGGCCGCTATAAATCTCTACACGATGATGAGCCACTTGAGTTATCATTACGTGTGCGGCCGGTTCGCTTCTGAAAAAAATAACTCTCTAGCTCAGCGGGGCCTTACTTGGTCAAATAAAAAATGTTGAATAGTTTAGTTGAAGGCAGGCGCCGCTGTGTTTCTCAGCTTGCGGTGGCTTCCCAGGAGGAGGCGATGCTGCTGATGTTGTTGCTGTGTCCTCGAGCCTAGGAGGAGAGAGGATCGAGGGGAACCCCCAGTGGCAGCTGCCTCTGTGTGGCAACAAGGCTGTCATCACGAAGGAAGGCACCGCTGTGTTGTTTCAGACACAGGCTACAGTAGCTCCACAGTGGTGGGGGCGGAGGAGCGGTGTTGCCGTGTGTGTGCGCGCGAGTAATCCCAATTGGGGAGCGGTAGTGTAGTGGTTAACGCTACGCTGCGCTACGTAACCCGGCGACCCGAGTTCGATTCCCGCTCGCGGCCAACACCGGTGACGAATATCTGAAGCGGTCCTGGGCCTCCCCTACTCGGCCTCAAACGAGTACCTGGTGTGGTGTGTAAAAACATCGCCGCTGCGGAGACAAAGGCGATCGAGCGTGGTGTTGGCCACCCACCCCCTCGTGTGCCTCAGTGCCGGCCCTTCGTAGGTGCTGCTCGTTTAACAGCACTTTCCCCTGCAGTCTGTTGAGGCTATATCGGGGGGGGGGGGGGGGGGGTCTTTGTCTTTTTTGTAATCCCAATTGAATAATTAGTGGTATCATTTTTTTCTAATTTGGCACGCACAAAAAAAACAATTGTGAACATGACACCGGCACACGAGGGCTGCCTCCTTCTTCCAACGACGCCCGGGGGTAGTTTTTTTTTTAACACGTGCCGTGACCGAAGCCAAAGTCGCGCACTATTTTTCACGGTTGTTACACCCCCGAAGGTAGTAATAATGCTCCATAATAAAGGTTTTTGGGTTAGGTCGCGTAAGTATAAATGTGTTGTAACGATCCACCACCCACCTTGTTGTGGATTTACTCTCCAACACACCGGTGGGTTGAAGTAGTAAACTAATTGGCGCGTTAAATTTTGATTTTAAGCTTTCGTGACTGCAGGGATTCATATTCTTGAGTCTTTCGGTAAAGTCACGTAGAAGGGAAACAAAATAAAAATATAAAACAATACAATTGTCACGACGTTTCGACTGCAACACAAGCAAATCATCAACATTTTTCAAATTTTTCACATTTTCTTGCTGTGGTTTTCACACCTCATGATGATTGCTTGTGTTGTAGTCGAAACGTCGTGA